GTCTGTCTGTCTGTCTCTGTCTCTGTCTCTGTCTCTGTCTCTGTCTCTGTCTCTGTCTCTGTCTCTGTCACTGTCACTGTCTGTCTGCCTGCCTGCCTGCCTGCCAGTCTGTCTGTCTGTCTGTCTGTGTTCTGCGGGCACCGCTTTGGCAGGAGCGCAGTCCTGGCGACGAGGAGCCTCGCCTGGAGGGCCGCGCGACAAGACGCGAGCCTCCAAAACAGCGCGATCCCCCTCATGGTAACGAGGGGCCACCAGTTGCCGGTTGGGGGATTTCGGGCCTTACTTTGGCCCACCAGAAACCACTTCTGGAGCCCCGACCGAAGCTCGGGAGCGGCCAAGAGGGGGGTGTCCAAGAGGGGGGGGTGCAAATCATGACCGGCGGCATGTGCGCGGCCCAGCGGGGGGGCCAGGGACTTAATGGAATAAGAAGAGGCGCCATGAAATCTGGGGAAGTATCATGGCCCCCGCCATGATATCCACCCCCCCCTAGTCATCACCCCCCTCTTTGCCGCCCCCGAGAAGCAGTCGTCGGAAGTGCGTAACAAGACCCGAGCCTCCAACAAAAACGATCCTCATGGCGACGAGGGGCCACCGGCTGCCGCTTGGGGGCACCCCGGGGCTCTGGCGACCCGGGTCCATCCAGACCCCGGTCGGCCATGCTCTGCAGGATCCTGCAGGAGCCCGGAGGATCCTGCGCCCACACCCGGGTCGGTGCACCCCTGGCCCTGCAGGGTCCTGCAAGATCCGGCGCCCTGACTGACCCCCGGTGGCAGTGACCCCCGTCTCAAAGGCTCCCGAGCGACGAGGGGCCACGGGTTGCCCGTTGGGGGCACCTCGGGCTTCTATTTGCACGGGTCAACGCAAATCCAGGTCAGTCAGGCTTCGCGGGGTCCCGCAAGATCCTGCAGGATCCTGCAGCCTCCGCGCGCCGGTCCCTACGTGTAGGCCTCGAGAGCCCCCCCAATCGTGGAAACAAGTTGTAGGTTCGGCGACGACGAAGACGAAGAACTATTTCTCCGCGGCGCCCGCCGCACGACGACGACGAAGACGAATTGAAGGATGAGATTGTGAGCAACACCCTCGGCCAAGACTGTGTCGATCTATAAGGCAATCCAACTACAACCGTGCTCACAATTCCTCTGTTCTGCAGGGTAGCCCAGGGATCGCTTTTTCCTGGGAGAAAGAAACCCCAAATCCCGCCCGCCCAGCTCAAATCAAAATATTCTCCGCCGCGACGACAACGACGAGTACGACTACGACTACGATTGTGACTGTGATAACGACTCTAACCACAACTCCGATTACGAGTAAAATCACGACTGCAATCACAACTACCATCAAGATTATACTCACAATGGCAGGCACGACTACAATCACAACTACAACCATAGCCACTGAATTCGATTGGAATCCTCATGAGGAGATGCTCACAAATCTTGTAGCGTGTAGGTTTACCTAAAATTGATAGCAGCTGTGAAAAAAAACAAATAACATTATCCAGACTGCCCACCCACCCCAAAAAAAACTCCGCCGCGACGGCGACGACGACGACGGCGGTAAAAACGAAGACGACGACCACGAGGAGGAGCAGGAGGAGGAGCAGGAGGAGGCGGGGGGGGGGAGGCGGAGGAGAAGGAACAGGAGGAGGGTAGGCGAGCTCGTTCCCCGTCGGGAGACAAAGACGGGGGCGTGTAAAACTAAAGACCTTCTGGGGCTAGCATGGGCCAGTGCAACCCAGGCTTCGCAGGATCCTGCCTGATCCGACCCCTGTCTCGAAACTCCCGAACATCCGGGGGGGGGGGGGGCGTCGGCTGGGGCCGCCGCGGCCGCGTCACAGCCCCGCCGGACGCGGGCCGACGAACGCCGCCGAAGCAGAAGAAAAGCGTTATAAGCATGAACTATTGGCGCTCCGCGCTGGTTTCTTGGATCTACGGAAGGCCCCCCTCCCTGGCGCGCGGAGCGCGCCAAGGGCAACGCCGGGGGCGCCGCTGGGGGGGGCTCAAAGCGAACGCAAGAAACCCGCGCGGAGCGCCAAAATAAATGTTTTTGTTTTTCGATGGAGGCCCGCCGAAAGAGGCCGAGAGGACCACACATCCGGCTGTTCCGGTTTTGTCGATGCGTGGGCTCCCGAGGCCTGGACCGCTTCCCTCGGGCACGTTTTTCGCCCCGAGTCGTTTTTTGGATAGTCCCGAAGCCCGGCGAGGGAGTATGGAGGCCGAAAACGGCCCAAAGCCGCCAATTCCACATGTTTCCGGAACGTCAGATCTCAAGAGGAACAAGAACACACAGACACAATGAATCGTCGATTCCCCGGAACAGATGCGAGCATATGGAGAGTGGGGGGGAGACAAAAAAACAGAAAAAGTGTGAAATTTTGAAGAATCCTGTCATTTGTGCCTTGTGTGCCCCAAAAGCCCCATTCAGGACATCAGGGGGCGCCGAGGGGCCGCGAGAGGGCCGCCGAGGGGCCGCCGCAAAGGCAGACGGCTGGGGCCGCCGCGCCAGCGCGACGGCCCCGCACGGCGCGGGCGGCGCGGCCGCGGCAGGCCGCACAGGGGCCTCCCGGCGGCAGCTCGACGCCGCCGCCGCCAGCATGCGCGCCGGCGTCGTCGTCGCCGACGACGTCGTCGTCGGCGTCGCCGACGTCGGCGGCGTCGGGGGCGGCGGCGGCGTCGGCGGCGTCGGCGTTGACGTGTCGCCGTCGGCGGTGGCGTAAGCGTCGTCGCCGTCGCCGTCGTCGGCGTCGTCGCCGAAATCGACGTCACAGGCGTCGGCGCCGAAACCAGGAAGCGGAGGCGGCGTCGGCGTCATCGTCGGCGCCGTCGTCGTCCGCGGAGGCGGCGGCGTCGTGTCATCATCGTCGTCGTCGTCGACGCCGTCGTCGTCTTCGTCGACGTCGTCGCCGTCGGGATTAATGGCCGCGGCGGCGGCGTCGAACGAAGGAAAGAACGACGCGCTCCATCGGCCAGGAGGCCGTCCCGACACGGGTAGCGCGGTGGCGCCTCAGCGCCCTAAGTTCTGATCCTACACGATGCGTTTCGGCCAACGTTGGCACTGCCCCCCACACCGCCGGAAACGGGCCTCTGGCTCCAAGTTAAATGCAATATGTGCCCGAGATTCGCTGTCGGCAATCACGCGGCCATGCCAACGGAGTGCTGCTTTGCGGCGCTCTGCAACCAAACGACGAAGATGCAGGAGCGCAATCTGTTGCTGTTCAGCATCACGCGTAGCTTTGTTCACCAATCGACCAGGGCCCCCAAGCCGCATCACAACCTCGCGAAGCATCGCTGGAAAATGAAAAAGAAGACGATGATGATTATGACGATGTAGCCGTTGATTGTCGGTGTCCCCTGCGCCTGGCCACGCGGAAAATCATGATTTGCATGTTCCTGTGTTCGAAACGAAAATTGTCCTCGAGCTCGCGCGCCAGCACCCGCGTGGCCGAGCCATAGAGCATCGTGGCGGTCCTGTGCAGTCAAACTGGAGACGTAAAATTAGTGGATAGTTTTTGTACGCGAGTTCTGAACGGTGCTGCATGAAGCACTGCCAAAAACAACGGATATGAATATTGACCTCCACATCATGGGGCTGGCCGGAATTGCCAAGATGCCTTACGCTTCCGCTGTAAGGGACAATCTATTTGCCCATGTCTCCTACCAACCCTCCAAACATAACATTCGGCTCCTTCGGTCTGCCTGCGCCCGTAGTCGCGTTTCTCCGAATCTTGTATTGGTCTGAGTGTAGTTTGGACCCAACTCTGGCCGTGGCGCCTCTGACGTCACGGAGCATGGCCTTGGGCTGCCTTAGCGTGCTGGCGACAAGCGGCGGCGTCGGCGTTTGCGCCTGCGTCAGCGTCAGTTAAGTCATCGACGTCGGAGTCGGCGGCGGCGTCCGCGTCATCGTCGTCGTCGTCGTCGTCGTCGTCGTCGTCGTCGGCGTCGGCGTCGGCGCCTGCGTCGGCGGAGGCGTCAGGTTCGGCGTCGGCGTCGTCATCGTCGGCGTCGTCGACGGCGTCGTCGTCGTCGCATCGTCGCCGACGTCGTCGTCGACGTCGGCGGCGTCGTCGGCGTCGTCGGCGGCGTCCTCATCGTCGTCGACCACCGTTGTCGTCGTCGTCGTCGCCGAGGTCGTCGTCGTCAACGGCGTCGGAGGCGGCGGAGGCGGCGGCGGGGAAGGAGGCGTCAGCGTCGGCGTCGGTTGGCTTGGCCCTGCGCGGGGAGGTCGACTTGGCGGCGCGGGGAAGGAGGCGTCAGCGGCGCCGTCGAAATGGGCAACGTCGGCGTCTGCGTCGGCATCCACGGCTACGCGTGCGTCAGCGTCAGCGTCAGCGTCGGAATCGTCGTCGTCGTCTTCGTCATCGTCGGCGGCGGCGGCGTCGGCTGCGTCGGCGTCCTCGGCTACGGCCTCGTCGTCGTTGTCGTAGCCGGCGGCGGCGGCGTCGGCGTCTGCGCCCCCGTCGCCGTCGGCGTCGGCCACGTCGTTGAAGTCGGCGCCGCGACCAGCAGGCGGAAGTGTAGCCGATGCAACCGCGATCGGCGACGTCGTCGTCGTCGGCGGCGGCCACGTCGTCGAAGTCGGCATCGGCGTCGGCGTTGTCGTTGTCGTCGTCGTCGTCGCGATTAACTCAGTCGTCGTCGCCGTCGTCGACAACGTCGGCGGCGGCGACGGCGCCGAGGGCAGCGGCGGCGGCGTCAGCGTCGGCGTCGGCGTCGACTTTGGCGCTGGCGCCAGCGTCAGCGTCGGCGTCTGCGAGTGCGTCGGCGGCGGCGCTTTCGCCGTCTTCGGCGGCGGCGCTTGCGTCGGCGTCGGCGTCGGCGTCGGCGTCGGCGTCGGCGTCGTCATCGGCGTCGTCGTCATCGTCGTCATTGTCGTCGGCGGCATTGTCTTCGGCGGCAGCGTCGGCGTCGTCGCGGGCGTCGGCGTCTGCGCTGGCGCCAACGTCGTCGACGGCGACGTCGGCGCTGTCGCGACGTCGTCGTCGCTGCGCGGTCTGCGCCGGCGGGCGCACTGGGGGGCCGCGGAACGCAAACGCTACCGCGACCAGTCCTCGGACGGTTCTTGCGGTTCCCGGGGCGATCCACACGGCAGCCCTTGCCCATGTGACTGTTGCCCTGCCCTGGGCTGCTGCAGGGCGTTCTCCATCGCTCCCTCTGGGCTGGCGGGGCGCGACAACGCCTGTCTCGGCGTCGCGGGGACTGCCTCTCGCGCCACCCGAGGAGCCGCTCCGACTGGGGCTTGCCCCTTGAAGCGCCCCTGCCCCCTCTCACGGGCCCCTTTCGGCGCGCGGGAGGGCGATCGATTTGCTGCGCTCACTGACGGGGCCGTTGGATTACCGCCTGGACCGCCCGGGCCCTTGCCGAGGGCCGAGCTGATTAGCGGGGGCACCCGGCTTCGCCGCGCGCGCGAAAATACGCGCGCGGCCTCGCGTGCAATTGCCCTTCCGGTAGAAATCGCACGCTTCCCACTGTGGCTCGCTGCAGCTAGCTCTGCTACATGTGCCATCTATGGCGCGCGCGCCACCGAACGCATTTGGTTTCTTTCCAGCAAGAGGCCGCCCCGCCGCAAACACATTCCCGCCGCCATTCGAGACGGAGGGGTGGCCCCAAGGGCATCCGCCACCACGGGCCAAGCAGCTTCCTCGCTAAACCCAAGTCACCGCAAACGCCCTTGCACGCGGCAGCGGCGGCCCCCCCTTCAGTTTCGGTTGACCATCTCCCCCCTGGCCAGACTTTGGCGCCCAGGAAGCTTCCGGCATCTACCGTGGAGCAACTGGTGCGCATGATTCGGTTCGCACGGCTGAATCCCAGGGCACTCGCCCGCGCTGGCCCCCATGCCCCAACGGCGTTCTACGTGCGACCGAAACAGGGCTTGAAAGAGATTGTCTGCATGAGCTGACCTCATGCCGACTACATCGCAGATCCATGATTCAAGGAACTCGGTTAGATAGGGGCCGGCCATCTTGACACGATTCAATGGTTCTTTTTTTTACCGCGCCCATCGGCCTCGACTGGCCGACGCCAATCCATGGCCGTGAAAAGTAGCTGCCGCCCTTTGAATCCGGCTTTGGCTTCTTCCTCGCGGCAATTGGCCCGTCGTTCGGGGTTGTCATTTCGGGGGATCTCTAACGTGCCGGGTCTTGGCTGAGGATGGCTGGCGGGCCATTGCAACCTACTTTCCCGGGTTTCCCCGATGGGGCTCAGTTACCGCTCGCGCGAAATGGCCCACCCTTGTTCACGCAGCTCCGCTGCAGATCCTGTCCACATGGGCAATGTGGAAGTCGCTGTCGCTGTGAATCTGGTCGCTCGGATTGGCGATGCCTCTTTCATGCCCCGCAGCCCAATCAGACAGGACATGAACCATAGTTGGCAGCTCAAGAAGAAGAGCCTCTCGCATCGTCAACACATCACCATCGATGAAACACTGGCAACGCGCGCTGCCCAGTCGCTTCGACGAGAGAACGAGCGCTGCAAAAACTTCTTGGATGCTGGGCATGATCTCGCAGGCGTCGCGTCGAACCCGAGCGCGCGCTGCAACGTCATGAGCTAGTTGCCAAGTTAACTCGCCGCTGCAATTCTCTAGCCTGACAGGTCTGGACTCGAGTGTACCATAGCGCGATTTTGCCCCGATGCACGGTTGGCTGCCCGCGCCGTCGTTCGCTAGCCACCTTGGCGTGCCCGCGCGGTAGCGGCAGCCACATGTCACACGCGCCCCCAAACTTGAGCGCCCACACTCTGAACGTCATGCGGTTGAAATGCGCTTGCGAACACTGCGATGGTTGCTCGCTCTACGAGAAGTTCGCCTCTTGTTGTGGTTCGAGCGTTCTACGTTGTCCAGCAAGTGCCTGCTGATGAATGTCAGCGATGTGATAGCTTCGAGTCAGGGGCAGATCAGCCGTTGAAATCGGCATTGGTTCATGCACGGCGGCTGTTTCGAACCAGAAATGTGTCGTTCGACCCATCGTGACTGTGCTGGCTGCCCCTGGTCGAATGGGAAAGGCGCCCTAATGCTTTCGGGCGCCTTCGGTGCCAGAGCTTCGTAAACCTGCTTAACGATCGCTGGGAAAGGGGGGGGGCCTTCGATCTTCCAATCCCATGCAGGATCTCGCCGCGCCTGCGCCACGGCTCCTTCGCCGACGCAATGGCGGCAAGTTTCCCCGCCGCAATCGCCCTTTCGCGTAGGCGGCGCGGGATATGATGACCCTTGCCCGAGGCATAGTCTATTGGGACGAGTCGTCCGTGCCCTGTTGGTTTTGATTTCGCAGCTGCTGGTCTCGACGTTTCCGAACCAAGGATTTGTCAGAGATGATTACTTCGAGGCGTGCGTCGAGTCACTCGCATCTGCCATCCCAAATGAGGCGCTTCGCGCAAGCTGCAGCGATTGCGCTGCTTCGCTTGGTAACCTTGCCCTGAAGGATAAAATGGCCTCTGGGCCAGACCCCTCCATTCTAAAAGTTCATGTGTAGCTAATGGTGCGTAGATAGCTATAGCCGATAGATGTGCGCAAGCAACGAAGAATTGGGGGCGCGGGCGGCGGCCGTGAGAATCGTTTTGCACCCCCGCCTCGCGAACCATGACGTGCTTCGCGGCCGGCGACGATCGAAAGTATCGCAAGTCTAAGCCTCATCCTCGATCCTCATGAGGACGGGAAAAGGAAGGCAAGAGAGAGTGGGAGGCCCAGATAGGCATCCGATGGCCCTAGAAAACCCAGCGGGGCGACCGTTCAAGGTAAGCGTGCTCCAATTACGAAGGGTGAAACACACCGATCCCCCCTCCTCTCAATGGACGACTGGTTCCTTGCAATGGCCTGGCTCTCCTCGGCGGACGGCCTGGCGAGCGAACCGAACAAGCTCACTGCTAAGCTCAAAGCAAGGGATCGCCAGGATCGGAGTCTCAAGGCACGGTTGTTCGGTTACCAACTCGTGGTTCGGCAGCGTTGCGTGTTTTGGCGACGGCATGCCCCGCGTGCTCAGTCGCGATGTCTGCATTCGCAAAGACAGCCCTGCGGCGACGCCAGGGAGAGGAAGACCGCGGATCGACCGACGCGCTCGCAGGGGCATCATCCGACCTCGGGAGCCCTAACGCAACCTGCACCAGCAGCTGGCATCTGATGGGCATTCGAGTGGAATCCACGAGTGAACGAGCTCACGATCGAAGGGACACGTCTTGCAAAAGAAGCCTGCCGTCTGAGGCGGATGAGGCAAAAGGGAACAGGGAAAAGACCAGGCGAGGTCCTCCAAACCTCCTCCTTCTCTTCCTCGTCAGCATCTGCCCAGCGCCCCCGCAAGACATGCCCCGTCCTGCTCTGCTGGCAGAGCTTAACTATTCCTCCTCGGCCTCCTCCTCCTCCTCCTCCTCCTCCTCCTCCTCCTCCTGCTCCTGCTCCGCCTCCTCCTCCTCCTCCTCATCCTCCTCCTCCTCACCGTGTCGACGTCAGTAAGTGCCTTGGCGGCTCCAGGTCCCCAGCATTCCCTGGCATCCAGCGGCAGTGGGACCCACCCATTTGTGCAACCTCCGCTCGAACGGTAACGAGGAAAAATACTAAGCGCCGGCCTAAACCCCACTGCCCGTCCTCCTCCTCCTCCTCCTCCTCCTCCTCCTCCTCCTCCTCCTCCTACTATTCCTCCTCGTCTTCCTCCTCCTCCTCCTCCATCATCATCATCATCATCATCATCATCATCATCATCATCATCATCATCAGCATCATCGGCATCATCAGCATCATCAGCATCAGAATCATCATCATCATCATCACCACCACCACCACCATCATCATCATCAGCATCATCATCATCATCATCAGCAGCAGCAGCAGCAGCATCATCATCATCATCATAATCAACATCAACATCATCATCATCAGCATCATCATCATCATCATCGTCATCATCATCATCATCATCATCGTCATCGTCACCACCACCACCACCATATCATCATAATCATCATCATCATCAGCAGCAGCATCAGCATCATCATCATCACCATCATCATCAGCATCACCATCATCAGCAGCAGCATCAGCATCATCATCACCATCATCAACATCAGCATCAGCATCAGCATCATCATCATGTTCATCCTTCTCCCCTTCTCCTCCTGCTCCTCCCCTCTCCTCCTCCTCATCCTCCCTGGCCCCCTCCCGCTCCTGCTGCTGCACCACCACTACCTGCCGCTGCGGGGTCACCACGGACATCACCCGCGGCTGCTGAAGCGCGACCTCTGCGGATCGCGCGGCCGCGCGGAGTGCCGTCGTCGTCGTCTTCGTCGTCTTCGTCGTCGACGTCGTCGTCGGCGGCAGCGAAGGAGCAGGGGAGCAGGAGGATGAGCAGCGGGGCGAGGAGGATGATGGGCGAGGGACAAGGGACCGGCGAAAGAGGGAAGGGGAGAAGGTGGGGGGTCAGGGAGCGGGGGCGAGGGGGGGGGAGCCGAGGGGGGGCGGGATCAAGTGGAGCAGATGTGCAGAGGGGAGGGGATGGGAAGAGGCGTGTGTCATGGGCAAGGGAGCGGATCTTTGGGCTTTGGGACCTGGGACCTCGCTGCTGGGGGGGCAAGGCGCGTAGCAAGCTGACGCCAGCGCAGGCACCGTGGGAGGCCCCGCGATGGTCCTGAAACACCAGTGCTACTGACCTGCAAAACACAATGCTCCGCGAGCACGTTTGGTACACGTAAGGTGTAGGAGGAGGGCAAGGCGAAAATGAAGCTGAGGCGGAGCAACACGGGAAGCGTGAACGGAGATGTTGCAGGAAAGAGGGGTAGCGGAGAGCAGGAGACGGGAAGGAAGGAAAGCAAAACGAAAGGAAACATAGGGGAGGGCGATGGGCAGGGAAAGCAAAGCGATAGGCCACGGGCTGCCTGGCAGTGTTTCTGGAGTCTTTCGAAGGCCCCCCCCCACCATGCTCCTGGCCACACCCACCCGACTGCATTGCCCCTACTCCCGGGGGGGCCCTGGGCGGCCATTGCGCCTCCCTGGGGCTCTGCAAGGCTTTCATGACGGCCCAGCAGGCCCTCAAGACGGTCCAACAGGACCCCGAGTCGTCGAACGATCGCCCGAAGACGCCCAAGATGGCCTCAAGATTGCCCAAGAGGCCTCCACGACGCCTCCAAGACGCCCCAAGAGGCCTCCAAGAGGACTCCCAAGAGGGTCCCAAGAGGTAGACATCATTGATACCCCTTGAATGTTTGAAAGATTTGGGCGTTCTCGCCGTTTCGGCTTTCCGACGCTACAAGATAGCCCAGAAGGCCCCCAAGACCACCTCAAAACGGTCCAAGAGGCCTCCAAGAGTTTCTCAAGACGGCGGAACAGCGCCCCAAGGCGGCCCAAGAAGGCCCCCAGACAGCCCAAAAAGCAGCCCACGAGAGGGAACACGAACCGAAAATCCGAGACGTCCGCCCAAAATTGGGCGTTGGCAGAACTGGGTCTAGTGGGACCTGGTTTAATGATGTGTACTGGGGGACGCCCCCCTCGCCCCGTTCCACGAACTGGAATTGCCTTCACCCGGAAAAAAAACACCAGCTACGGCAGACCTGGTTAAGTGAACTTGGCAAATTTAGGGGCTCTGGGGCCCTACCACTAACCGGGTCCCCTTACCTGGGGTCCTGGCTATACCCAACCAGGAAGACCCGAGGAGACTCCAAAAAGTGCCCACGAGGCCCCAAGAGGCCCCCCAGAGGTCCCCCAGAGGCCCCAAGAGGCCCCTAAAAGGTCCAAAAGGGCCCCCCACAGGCCCTAAAACGGCACCCAAGAGGCATCGAAACTGCCTCCAAGAGGCCCCCGAGAAGCCTCCCACGAGATCCCAACAGACATCCAAGAGGCTTCACACCCACAACCCAGGCACGGTGGGGGGACTTGCCGTAGGCAGTATGTTTGTATATATATATATATATACACACATACCTATCTGGGATGTTAACGCCCCCCTCGACTTAAACTCACGTTCGTAAATTCAAAAATCTACTAAATTAAAGCCGGGCCCGTAATTTCTGTAAATTCGCGGACGCGCGCGACCGGGCGTTTGATGTTTGAACTTGCGCGGTTTTTTTGACCGAGAATTGACGACTGGTGCAGTTTTGATGGTGGGGAACCGTCGGGTCGCGCACTCTTTTTGGTTTTGTCGGGCTGGGCTCTGTTTTCCAACTTGTGCAACTTTGTTGACCAAGAATTGACGACCTGTGCAACTTTTGAGACTGGGAACCGACGGTTTGGGCAACTTTTTCCCAACCCTCCTTGGTTGGGTATTCGTTTTGAATAAAGCAGTATGGTCGCGTCCCTTCTCCCGCCTCCCGCCTCTTCCTGTCTTGCCCGCGGGGGGCTGCGATCTGTGAAACTGTCGCCACTTTCGAGGCCTGCTGGGGGGCCCAGCACAGTGAGGGCCACGCGCGGACCCAAATTAGACCTCGCCATCCCTGGGGGGCTGCGATCTGTGAAACTGTCGCCACTTTCGAGGCCTGCTGGGGGGCCCAGCACAGTGAGGGCCACGCGCGGATTCAAATTAGACCTCGCCATCCCTGGGGGGCTGCGATCTGTGAAACTGTCGCCACTTTCGAGGCCTGCTGGGGGGCCCAGCACAGTGAGGGCCACGGGCGGACCCAAATTAGACCTCGCCATCCCTGGGGGGCTGCGATCTGCGAAACTGTCGCCATTTTCGAGGCCTGCTGGGGGGCCCAGCACAGTGAGGGCCACGGGCGGATTCAAATTAGACCTCGCCATCCCTGGGGGGCTGCGATCTGCGAAACTGTCGCCATTTCGAGGCCTGCTGGGGGGCCCAGCACAGTGAGGGCCACGGGCGGACCCAAATTAGACCTCGCCATCCCTGGGGGGCTGCGATCTGCGAAACTGTCGCCACTTTCGAGGCCTGCTGGGGGCCCAGCACAGTGTTCAATTAGACCTCGCCATCCCTGGGGGGCTGCGATCTGTGAAACTGTCGCCACTTTCGAGGCTGCTGGGGGGCCCAGCACAGTTCAAATTAGACCTCGCCATCCCTGGGGGGCTGCGATCTGTGAAACTGTCGCCACTTTCGAGGCTGCTGAGCAGTGAGGGGGCCACCTCGCCATCCCTGGGGGGCTGCGATCTGTGAAACTGTCGCCATTTCGAGGCCTGCTGGGGGGCCCAGCACAGTGAGGGCCACGCGCGGATTCAAATTAGACCTCGCCATCCCTGGGGGGCTGCGATCTGCGAAACTGCCGCCATTTTCGAAGCCTGCTGGGGGGCCCAGCACAGTGAGGGCCACGGGCAGATTCAAATGAGACCTCGCCATCCCTGCGGGGCTGCGATCGGTGAACCTGTCGCCACTTTCGAGGCCTGCTGTGATCCCCGTTTTCGAAGTGGCTAGGAGTGCTCAGGAATTGTAAATCATCAGCTTTATCAAGCCCTTTTCCTGTAGCCGGTGTCCTGCGAGTCTCCCGAATTCTGTCTGCAGACATATGTAACCCTCGCTCCGTCATCGCCCCCTTATAAAGTATCCTGAACTATTTGCGCCCCGCTTTTGCGCAGGGGTTGGGTACGTCGCCAGGGTAATTTTATGTTGTCGGGCTGGGCTAGGTTTTCGAAGTTGTGCAGCCTTTTAGACAGAAAATTGACGACTTGTGCAACTTTTTTGATGGGGAACCGACGGGTTGTGCAACCTTTTTTCCGTTTTGTTGGGCCATTATCGGTTTTCGAACTTGCGCAGCTTTTCAAAAAAAAAAAAAAAAAATGTCGACGACTTGTGCAATTTGTTGGATGAAGAATCGACGACGTGTGCAACCTTTTTTCCGTTTTGTCGGGACAGGATCGGTTTTCGAACTTGTGCAGCGCTTCTGAAAGAGAACTGACGACGCGTGCAGCCTTTTGATTGGGCACCGACGGTCTGTGCAACCTTTTTCGTTTTTTCGGGCCGGGCTCGGATTTCGAAGCTGTGCTGCTTTTTTGATAGAGAACTGACGACTTGTGCAGCTTTTTTGCTTGGGAACCGAAGGATTGTGCAACCTTTTTCGTTTTGTCGGGCCGGGCTCGGTTCTCGAACTTGTGCAATTTTTCCCAACCCTCCTGCGTTGGGTACTCGTTTTGAATAGAGCACTGCGGTCTCCACCTTCCTTCCTTCCCGCCTCCCCCTCCTCTCTTCCCTCTTCCTCTCCTCTCTTGCTTCCCTTCTCCGCCTCTCTTCGCTCCTCCTCTTCTCTCCCCTTGCCTTTCACGTCATCCCTGGCGGGCTGCGATCTGCGGAACTGTCACCACTTTCGAGGGCTGCTGGCGGGGCCTGCGGAGTGAGGCACCACGGGGACTCAGATTAGACCTCGCCATCCCTGGGGGGGGCTGCGATCTGTGAAACTGTCGCCACTTTCGAGGGCTGCCGGTGGGTCCAGCGGAGTGAGGCACCACAGGGACTCATATTAGACCTCGCCATCTCTGGGGGAGGGCTGCGATCTGTGAAACTGTCACCACTTTCGAGGGCTGCTGGTGGGTCCAGCGGAGTGAGGCACCACGGGGACTCAGATTAGACCTCGCCATCTCTGGGGGGCTGCGATCTGTGAAACTGTCGCCACTTTCGAGGGCTGCTGGTGGGTCCAGCGGAGTGAGGCACCACGGGGACTCAGATTAGACCTCGCCATCTCTGGGGGGCTGCGATCTGTGAAACTGTCGCCACTTTCGAGGGTTGCTGGTGGGTCCAGCGGAGTGAGGCACCACGGGGACTCAGATTAGACCTCGCCATCCCTGTGTGAAACTGTCGCCACTTTCGAGGCTGCTGGTGGGTCCAGCGGAGTGAGGCACCACGGGGACTCAGATTAGACCTCGCCACCCCTGGGCGGCTGCGATCTGTGAAACTGTCGCCACTTTCGAGGGCTGCTGGTGGGTGGCCAGCGGAGTGAGGCACCACGGGGACTCAGATTCTGACCACGAGCAATGCTCGCGTGCCCTTGCTCTGCGGTTCGTGCCACGTGGCGCTGCGACTCGAGCTGGCGGTCGTCCTTCGGACCCGCAGAAACATCTGCTGAGCTCGATGAGCTAGGGGAACTACAGGAAAGAAGTGCAGGAAACGGAGGCCGGTCATGCACTCGCCGATACCTCGTTGCTCTGTCATCGTCTTTGCTGTTGCATGATCCTTATCTGGCCTGCCGGCGCCGCGGCTCGAGCTGGCGGTCGCCCTTCGGGCCCGCGGGAACATCTTCTGAGACAAGTGGACGCCGCCGCCTTACTTGCAGGCAGCGCATTGCATTCGCGAACAGCAGCATGGCAGACCG